AAATAAATAGATAAACAAATTACCAAATAGAGGAAAAAAATTAAAAAAATCAAATATCAAACAAATCAAATGACATCATTATATATATCAAACAAATCAAATATCAAACAAATCAAATGAATTATTATATAGTACCTATATAATGTATTGGAGTGAAAATAGGAGGGAGGAACATCAACCATCTAAGATATGCAGATGATACCATACTACTTCCACAAAACATCACAGACTTTGAACAATTAATAAAGAGTGTCAAAGATGAAAGTGCAAATGCAGGCTTATTGCTGAAAGTACAGAAAACAAAAATAATGATCATGAAGGATGTACATGAATTCAACCTAGACAATGAGGAAATTGAAATAGTTAGAGTTCCTGTACCTTGGAGCAAACATTGATCCGAATGGGGACTGAGCCAAGAAATCAGAAGAAGACTAGGAATGGGAAGCACAGTGACATGCACTTCACAGCTCTATGGTTTCCTTACTTGAATGTGTGTGTGTGTGAGAGAGAGAGAGAGAGTGAGTACTAAAATTAGAATTATTTCCCATCACCATGTAGGGATGCAAAAGCTGGCCAGTGAAGAAAGGGTTAAGAAGAAAATCAACTTGAAGACATACAGCAATAGCAGCTTTGTGTACCTTTTTAATTCTTGTCATTGTTGGCAGTAATCAGAGTAGTAATATACTGTAGTATGAAATGTCCTCAGTGTGTCCCCTTTCCTAATTACTCCCTCAATGGAGATCTGTGGACAAAAGAAGTTGGCATCCATCTTGATCAGAAGCACAGTCCATTGTACATATCTGAGAAACTGTGTGATCTTTGAAAGGTTATCCTGGTTTACTATTTCCTTTCTCGGTTTCTGTAGATGCTGGCGTCCCATTCATTAAACGTATCACACACATATCTTTTATTTCCTTTCCCTAATGAGGATCACTGTCGCCCATGATGTACCTTGAATTGTAATTTGACTGGAAAGATAATGCACCTGCCTGGGAAAATATGACATACTAATTACTAACAGGGTTTTTTCTCTCTCTCCGTTAAATACAATAACATTAATTAGTTCATATGGGGCTCAAGACTCCCCCTCTGCTTTGTAGGCTGCAGTAATTATTGTATTTAGTTACATGTTAAATTAAGAAATTGTGTCTCCAGTTGTTTGTAAATGCCTGTCTGGAGCAAGCAAAATGCTGAGGGAAGGCTTCTGTTGTTGTTGTTGTTGTTGTTGTTGTTTTACTTCATTTGCTTATTTGTTTTCCTCCCAGGAAATCCAAAAAGTGATTTTGTCTCTGCAAATGGCATTAAGAAGATAAAAATCAAAGATTTTAGAACCAGTTGAAAAATGAATGGCCTCAATCTTGATGGTTAGTCCTGACTAGAGTGGGTCTGTTGGATCAACTGTTGAGTGGCGAGACAACATATGGGTAAAGCCCATTGATTCAATGAGCCTATTCCAGTATCATTATTATATTATTATCAGTGTGGCATAATGGTTTGAGTATTGGACTAGGACTCTGGAGACAAGGGTTCGATTCCCAGCTTGGCCATGAAATATATTGGGCAACCTTGGACAAGTCATATGCTCCCTGCCTCAGGGAAAGGCAAACCTCCTCTGAACAAATCTTTCCAAGAAAATCCATGATAGGGTCACCATAAATTATGAATGACTTGAAGGTACACAATAACAATAATTATACTAATCACCAATATTCTACTGTGATGGACACTGGGTACCTTGTTTCTGGCCTCACAGGGATCTACTCATGCCAACAGCAGTGGAACCATTCAACACAGTGGAGATATGTGTGTAGACAGCTGTCCAATGTTGCTATGGAGTGTGGAAGTAACATGGAGAATCCAGGGTAGCTCTAAGACCACCAAACTCTGGGATTAGCCTGAAGTATTCTGGCCAGTGTAGATGAACCCTTAGTCTCAAAGATGCTACAGGGATCTTTTGGATAGTGATGCAGACTAACATGGTTATATCTCCGAATGCAGCTATACAGAGAAGATACAATGCTGGCTGGCATCCTTTTTAGTGAGTTAACAGTCAACAGCTAAAAAAGCCAATGTGATCCTAGGCTGCATCAATAGGAATGTAGTACTGGGCACTACAATTCAAAAAAGGATGTTGAGAAGATGGAGCGTGTTCAGAGGAAGAGGACCAAAATGGCAAGGGTCTGGAAACTATCAAGTCCTCTGAGGAGTGGCTTAGGAAGCTGGGGATGTTTAACCTGAAGAAGAGAAGGTTAAGAGGTGATATGATAGCCCTGTTTAAATATTTGAGGGGATGCCATATTGAGGATGGAGCAAGCTTGTTTTCTGCTGCTCTAGCTTCCTTGGCCATTTGAAACTGGGTTTCTGAAGGGCAGATGCATCTCTTCTTTGGCTCTGTTCCATCCAACCTGATTTGGTTTCCTCTTGAAGATGTAATGTTTGTGTGTTATGTGTATGTGTTTCTTTCTCCCACCCGTCTCCAATCACTGTTCTGCTCGGAAGATTTGTTCTACTGAGATGAACGGAAAAAAATATCTTGATTTATGTACTCTAGAAAGAGTCTTTTGCTTACCAAATGTAATTAGCTGAAACAGCACATCTCCTTTCCCATACTATGCATGCAGAGAAATCATCAGATGACTCATAGACCAAACGGCCTTATTTAGTGAAGCAAATACATTTCTATATAACATTGCTAAGAGGACCACGTTTTGAAGGTACAAAAACTCTTGCAGATTTTTTGCTCCCCTGCTACTCCTTCACAAATTGTTCCGTCTTCCTATGGCCAGACTCCTGTTGGGTCTTTAGACTTATATGAGGGGTTGGACTTTTTGTCACTTATGTAATGAGGCCCTAGAGGTTGTTCTAGGAATGTAGCTATTGGGGAAAACTGAGGTATTCTTATTTGCAGGGACAAATAAAGTAGTACCCTCTTGCAGACACTTCTTCATGCCCTCCTCCCAGGATGCACAATAAATCATGCCACTCACAATGATGGACAAACATAGATCTACCTTCCACCCCAGCAGTCAAGATATCTTGTCTACCTAAATCCGAAGATATTTGCCTGGCAGTGAAAGGACAACTGGGAGGTGTGCCATCTTAGCATCTCTTGGCAGGGAGTTCCACAACCTCAAAGCAGCCACCAAGAAGACCTTCTCTTATATTCCATCCAAAAATACTCCCATGGGTGGAGGGATCAAGACAAGGTCTTACCACAAAGGCCTTTAAGCCTGACCAGGCTTGCATGGGGAGACTACAGTCATTCAGATAGTCTGGACCCATATCACATCCTGCTTTATAAGTCATAATCAGCATTTTGAACTGTTTGTGGAAAGGGAATGGTAGCCATACTTGTTTCTATCTTCCCCGATGCCATGATTTAATGACAGACATTTGGCAAGAAACTTGAAGCTCGATCGTGTAGCATCCTAACTTGTGATGTCCAAACTCAAAACTTTTCTTTCAATTTCTCCTTTTTTACTGTGAAGTCGTAGGCTTTCATGGCTGGCATCCATAGTTTTTTGTGGGTTTTTTGGGCTGTGTGGCCATGTTCTAGAAGAGTTTCTTTCTGATGTTTCACCAACATCTGTGGCTGGCATCTTCTTCTCTGAAGAAAAACCCACAAAAAAAACTATCCTTTTTTATTATTTGAAAGTAATTGGTGCCATTTGCAGTTCAGGTTAGTCACTGGCTGCCATCACTCCTTTCAAATTCCTCCAATGAACACAATCTGCTAACTAGCCAGCAAGCTGACATTTGCAGGGCCGAAATGCAGAGCATAAAACGCCACCAATCACATTTTAGCCAGAGTGAGACAGCCGGAGATCAATAAAACAATTTTCAACTATTAGAATGGAGTGCTCGGAAATAGCTATTAGTAGGCTTTTTCTGCTGTTGAGAGAAAATCCTTTCCTTGCCTTCAAACACTGTCATCTGTTTTGGTAGTTACCTGTCCTAAGAGGGTTTCTCCATTTTTGGAAAGCATTGCACTTTTTCTCCTGGCCTGAGGTGTCACAAATCATTGTGCTAGTCTGGTTAAGCATTACCTTTCTAATGACAGACACCAAATAGACCAATGCTCA